AGATGCCATTTTTATATTTGAAATTCAGTGGTTGATCCTCATTTCCACCTCTGCCTGGTGTAATATGCATGTGTCTGTTTTGTCACTTGATACAGTGGACCAACAGGTTTTTTGTCCTCTCCTCGTCCTCCGCTCTGTGTCGCCACCTCTTTACCACAGCAACAGGCGAAGATGAGAAGGATCGAAGACAGGAACTGATCATATATTTCTTTCATGCAGTTGAAAGCAAAGCTCTGGGGGTGTTTACTTCACAGGAGTGGTCCTCTTCTGAGAGATGAGGGAGAAAGAACTGACAGTTTGAAAAGGAAATGGTTCACAGGGACAGATTTGGTAGGAGTGTTCTTGTGGGTGGATCGTCCTTTTAAGTTTCTGACAGACCCAGCAAAGCCCTGGAGGTGCGTGTACAAATCATGGTCACTAGTTTCCTATGAGATGTATACTTAGTGATAACCTCACGTGCTGTAATTAATGCCACCGAAAGGAGCTAGTAAAGTTTAGGCTGCGCCCCAATTCGCATACTTATACTATAAATTAAAAGTACTTTGCTGGTGATCATGTTTTGAGTGTGTAATACATTGACCAAGACCTAAATTATTATAAAATTGTTTGTATTGCGTGTTTGCATTAGCATACTGTTTGCAGTGTGTTAGCATTAGCTAAAATGTTAAATGCCTTAATTTGTTTACTTATTATACATTTTAGTATTGCCAACAATATGAAAGTATATCACCTATGTACCCAAGATTAGTATACTTACTAATTAGTGGTTAAAAAAGTGCTTATTTTAAATATGTTGGAAGTAACTTTTATATCTCTAAAAAAAAACATGGATTTTGCAGTCTGTCCTGGTAAATAAAGACATTAAAATATTAAATTAATTATATTACAATTTGACAAAGCTGAATTTTCAGCATCATTACTTCAGGCTTCAGTGTCACATGATCCTTCAGGAGTCATTCTAATGCTGATTTGATGCTCAAGAAATATTGCTGCTTATTATCAATGTTGAAAACAGTTGTGCTGCTTAATATTTTTGTGGATACTTTTTTCAGGATTCTTTGAAAAATAAAACATCATTTTTAAAAACATCTTTTATAATGTTATAAATGTTTTTATTGTCACGTTTGATCTATTTAATGTGTCCTTACATGTTTAATAAATGTATTATTCTCTGTTTTACGCTAACGTATGTTAACTACTAGTTAGGCCTGGGCGGTAAAACAGTATCGGTATTTATCGAAGGTACACCATCATCGATAATGATAGAAAAAATGTTCGATATATCGCAGTATAGTTTCACGCTTATTTCATTTAAAGGCACATGTTATGATTGACAAGCAGACAGCCAACAAGACACACAAACACATGCTGAAATGAGTGCCATGCCTGCCTGCGATGAGGAGACTGTGAATAAAAAAAAAAAAAAGGAATATTAGTCGAATTTAAAATAAAAATTAGCATTTGAGTGCAAAAACGGTGTATTTGAATTTTAGGTGTGTGTCAGAGAGCCTTATCAGCAGCGCACAATGCGGTAATGATGTAGGCTGTGATGTAGCTAATGATGTAGGCTTGTTAGTCTATCCAGTTGAACCCACAAGACGCAACCTGCTGCATTTTTCGTTCAAAATATTAGAGAAATAAATAAGCTCAATGCGGAGAAGATATTGGTTAGTTTAAAACCGAAACCAAGCCATTCACACAGAACGCATATTCGGCGCATTCTTAAGACGCACAACTATGACTGTTGCAGTCGCGTCAATGTAAAGTTAAAAGAGGTTCAAGATTTAGAAAAGAAGTCTTGAGAATTTGTGGGGGTTTTATTCCATTCCACTGCGTCTCATATGTTTTTAAATGTAATCGTGTGATCAACGCTTTGGCTATTTGTATTAAGCTATGCATAAATACATGATGCTGTTTTGTTCATAATTGTTTATGCAATTTACAAAATTATATTTGATTTCATAAATATTTGTTTAGACTTTATGCACTTTTTTTTATAGACAGCCGTTATTTCATTGCATTGAATAAACAATTTAATGAGGTGCATTATTTTACTCATTGCGCCCTCCTGTGGCCTCAGGAGACAGGCCAAATGTTTCCTTAAAGGGGTCATATGATGCGATTTAAATTTTTCCTTTCTCTTTGGAGTGTTACAAGCTCTTGGTGCTTAAAGAAGATCTGTAAAGCGAAAATACTTTGGTTGGCCTTCCAAAAGAGGACTTTTGGCCAGTCATTTGACTGGCGGGAGCCAATAGGACTTCAGGAAAGGTTGGAAGGGAAGGAGTTCCCATAACGGAGAAATATCTCCGTGATGTCTCGTGAAAGCTCGAGAGGGAACTACTTTGTTTGGTCTTCCAAAAAGAGGACATGACTAGAAATCAGTGGTTAAGTTGTATTTACAACACTGTTCCAGAACAGTTCAACCCAAATATTCAGATGTGTGCAGCACATTTTATGGAGAACTGTTTCCTGATCCTGGTAGAGTAGATTACAATGCCGGCTGTTCTGACTCACAGACTGCAAGTAAGTTTTTTTTTTTTTATATTTAAAGAATTTGCCACTGATGATTCAAACACAAATTTTTTTTGAGCAGTGTAGAGTAGCACTTGTTGTTTGTCATTTCTCCAACCACAAATGCAGACATGGTTTTATGTTTACTGATAAGCTACCACTAAATATTGTAGAAACTTAATTTGCTGTAAAGTTGCTTTGCAATGATTTGTATCGTGAAAAGCACTGTACAAATAAACTTGACTTGACTTGACTTTATGCGGAGCGATGCAGTGCAACGCGTAAAAAGACAGTATAAGTCATTATAATCCGGAATTATGTCCCCACTGGATGCAACAAATGCCTCGTTTATAATGGGTTTTAATGTTTTTGTCTTGTCGCTCCGTCCGGACAGGGCATCACAGTATGGTAAGGGGCGTAACATTTCCGTCACACGCTTGAGGTATTCGGCCAATCACAACGCACTGGATAGCTGGCCAATCAGAGCACACCTCGCTTTTCAGACTGATGAGCTTTATAAAAATTTTACGCGTTTCAGAAAGGCGGGGCATAGAGGAGAAACAATAATGTACAGTATGTGGAAAATAATGTGTTTTTTTTTTTTTTTACCTTAAACCGCCTAAACACATTTCATTACACCAAATACTGTTCTTTTTAGCAGCATCATATGACCCCTTTAACACTTATTTAATCTGCATATAAAATATAAGAAAGGAGCCATTTGTTTCAGTTTTATTTTGTGTTTGACTGTTAAAACTAAAATAAGTTGCCGATTGTCTTAAATTGGTTAAATTAAAAATATAGTGGTTCAATTTAAACTTTTTTCTACTCCTCTTTAAGAAAGGTTATAAAAAAAGTCAATAATTATCGATACTGAATGATATGAAACAATATATCGTGATACATTTTTTAGCTATATCGCCCAGCCCTACTACTAGTTTTTTGTCTTGTATGATCACCTCCCATTTAAATTCAATTCTGGAAGTGCTTTAATTACTGAGCGATCTGGTTGATACCCACAAGACAGTAGACTGTAAACCATGTCAGAGCAATTACATATGACCTCCTTGCAAAGCATTTCCAGGTATGTGTATTTTTAGTAATTAGCTGGAAGACTTGATATATTTTTCATCTGTATTGAGAAGAAATGCACACAATTATGCAGATTTTATTCAAATCAGACTTTAGTTCCTATTTCAGAAATGTATTGACCCTAAAGAACTAAGTCCAACCCAAAAATAATGATCCGGTGTGTTTGTCACTGCGTTAAAATGTGTTGTTGGAGTTTATAATAATTTATTTTATTAGTTTATTTATTTTAAGTAGTTTGTTTCATTGCAAGAAAGTAGCTAACAATATTAAAGGTATTTGAAGGGGCAAGTATAACATAACTGTATTTTATAATTTTGTTACTGTATTTATATAACTGAAATGTATAATTTAATCAGACCAGTGAATCTTGGGCTGACATGTAGCAATATCAGCTGTAATGAGGATTTTTTCCCCACATTTTTGAACCCTGTTTTAGACAGTTGCCTCATTATTGGATTAATTTCAAGTAAATTGAAACATGTGGTAGATAACATTTCACCGGGTCCATTTGTAAGGTTTTTTTTATTTTTATTTTATTTTTTGCTACAGTGCTAAAGTATTTATATGGATCCTGTCTGTAAAAATAGACCAGTCAGCATTTTATGGGATTTTCTGTAAGCGGGATCAGCTGTTACTGATACCTATTGCAAATAGAATTAGCTTGATTGGGATTAGATTTAATAAACATTGGTGCAAAAAAACAATCTTAGTCATACTCACTAATGAGATGGAGACTACTCAGAAAACAAGATGAAATCAAAAGACATTCTGATTCATGCTAGTCTGTGATGCAGTGAAATGGCAACTTGTTGAGTGACTTTGTGATTAAACATTTGGAAATGTTGTTCCTGGTTTACATGACATTCAGATGAACAATACATTCTGTACCTCTTTTAATTTTTAGTGATATAATTAATCTAGTAATGAAACTCTTTAAGTTGCATTTGTCACACAACAAGATAGTGAGCAAAGTTGTTGGATGTGACAGCCTGTTATAATTGCTGTATTATTCATCATTGTTGCTTCTTGTTTGTCCAAGTTTACCAGTCACCTTGTAAAGACTTACATTACCTTGGCTGTTTTTGGTGTAAACACAGTGTACAACAGCAACATCCTATCATGTGATTTCAGCGTTGTCTTACTATATTCATCCTCATGCACTAGGGATTTTTTAAAGGATTTCAGTAAACCCATAACTCTAAATATGAAGCTTCAGTGCATATCCACGTCTTGAATACTTTATAGAATTATAGAATGTTGTCGATAATTACAAATTGTATTTTCGGCAGATAAATATTGATGATGAACGCCAGATGAGCTGTGAGTAAAGTGTAATGATTTACTCTGGTTTGCCCTGACTAACCCTCTCTTCTTCTCTCTCATTGTTTGTTCTGTAGGCGAGTTATCCTGCCTGGGAGGACTTTGTCACCAAAGGGGCTAAGCTACAATCTCAGTTAAGGTAAGAACAGGCCTCCTGCGTTACACTCTTCCTGAATAGGGAGTAATTATGATCATCTTGTTTCGAAAGCAGGAAGTGCTTGGTTATTACATAATTCTGGAAGGATTTGTCATCCAGTGTAAGAGGAGAGCTAATAAAGAAACATTTGAGAAGTATGTCTTTTATAGGATGCAAAAAGGCAGTGAAGAGACGGTGATGAAGAAAGAAAGGCACTTCATAATAAAGAAATAATTTAGAAGTAGAGAAATTTAAATGCGTTAGGAAAGGCGTCACATTTAGTTTGACACAAATGAAAATAAGGTGGTATAGTTCATTCAATGGGTCTTAGGCTGCATTTACACTGGCACAAAAAAAATCTGATTTTTTTTTGCTCACATCTGACACAAATTTGTTGCACTAGTGTAAACACACAAATCCGCACAAGATCTGATTTTTTTCGTATCCGATCTGAGCTAATTCCAAACATGGTTTTAAATCAGATACATATCCGATATCTGGACATCTGACCTACGTCTAAACACACACATTCGATTCCTTGCAGAACTCCCAATGTGAGGGCGACACGTTTGCCCATAAAGATTGTGTTTTAATGCCAGTGTGCTGTATGCGCTCACATTTTATTGATATGGAAACTTTATATAGGTAAGAAATTGTACATTTAGGAGCTGGTTTTCAATCCCTGCCCCGTGAATTTTAGAAATACAACCGCTAAAAGCTACATTATATTTCTCAGCAATGAGGTGATAACAGTTTTTGTAATTAAACCAGCAAGCTTCACACTCGCTCACGCGTTCTCTCTATCTTTCTTTCTCGCTCTCTCTGTCTCTGTCTGTCTCTCTCTCTCTCTCTCTCTCTCTCTCTCTCTCTCATTAATTCATTTTTATTCATTACAATAAATATCATCTTGGCGCTACTAAAGAATTCTACCTCTAACGTGCTATAGATAAAAATTACTGTTATTTTCTTTTATTTATCCATTCAGTCAGATTTTGTGCTGCAAAACATCCATGACAGCCATTGGCCATGCTGGTAAATAATAATGGGCACTCGACGTGATTTATATAAATTTTAATCGCACAGCCATTCAAAACCCAAGGGTCTACCAACTGCAGTCAATCCTTTTGGGCGGGAATTAATTTAAACACAGATATCGGATACTAGGGCTGTGTATCACCAGCAAAGTCACGATATAATACGTATCACGATACATGACTGCACTGAATTTCACCTCAGAAGAATTTAGAAAAACAGCTGTTTATTAAACACTGCTTACTATAGTGCCATTTCTAACTATTGGCAGAGCAGGCAGTTGACCTCTGCATTATGAAGGGCCTCCATAACTGTACCACAGTACAATATAGGTAATGGCATATGTTTCATGTTTACATTGGGCACTCCCCACCAGGTACAATATTCTGATTGTTTGCATCTTGTTTTTAAGCCCATAAATAATAATGTACTCATTCTAATATATTTAAAAAATAATTTACATTGCTGGTAGGTTATCATTGCACAAATTAACACTCTCTACAATAAAAAAAAAAAGAGGAGTTCTAAACTAACGTGTCTTCACTGTATCTAACGCACACACGCTCAAGGCTGATTTAAGGCTGATTTATACTCGACGCATCCGCAAGTTCGCTTTGAGTGCGAGCGACATCGTTTCGCGTGGCGGTGTGCACAACATTTTTTGTAACTTTCCACGCAGCTCCGCTTCCGAAGGTGCATGAGTTCAAAGCGACTCTAGCTGAACATGCACGTCTATGCCAGCATTTGTGTGAAACAGAAGCAGTTTGATGTTAAGTGCAGTCACACACACAGGTCACGTCGCGGCCCAACTCAGACATTCAGGAACAAACTTTTTAGCGCTGCCCCACAGTTTTATCAACTAAATAGCTTAATTTTCTCAACGAGGAGCTGGTAGCATCATTGTTTCTAAAGGAATTAAAGCCACAGCTTTACTGTTAATAGAGAAACGTGGCAAAACGGTGGTAATTCATACATACACAGCCTCTCTCTTTCTCTCTCTCTCTCTCTCATAAATGAACACTCGATGAATTACAATTTTCTGAGAATAAAATATTGAAGTGGAGATCGCTAAACTGCAAGCTAACCTAGTGTTGGGTCGTTCTTGAATGATTTGTTAATTTTGAATGAATCTTTAATGTGACTCGGGAAGAACGAGTCGTCTCGGGGAGTGATTCGTTCAGTCGCGCATGCGCAACATCCTATAGGTTCTGTACTGGAATTAGTCAAGTAGTACACTCAGTTTCGAGTCTTCGGGTTTTTCCGAGTCATTCGTTCATCACGTGACCGCCCCATAAGCTTTAACCAATGCAGTCTGAGCCGGAAAGAGAATTGATTAGTTCATCTCTCGAGTGTTCGGGTTTGAGTCGTTCGTTCATCACGTGACAGCCCCATAAACCCAAACCCGAAGACTTGTCAGATAAGAGGTGAGGTGAGCTAATCATAGACTGAAGACCCAGGTAAACAATGAATTAATCTTTTCTGTTTCTTATAGCAGTTTTGTATTGTTTGTAGTGTGATCAACGTTTGCGTAAGTAATAGACATATTAGGGAAGTAACACGTAACATTTTAATTATATTTTGCTAAAATGAACGAAATGACTTGAAAAAAGATTCGTTAATTTTGCTGAACGAGACTCAAAGGTCCGAGTCACTAAAATGATCCGAACTTCCCATCACTAAAGCTAACCGCTGTTTTCAGAAAGCAAGCGCGTTTATCCACAGTGGAGAGAGAGAGTGCGTGTGCACATGGTTGCCAGGTTGACAAAGATAAGTAGCACACTTAGCAGATATTTCCGTATTGTGCAAGTGTGAAGCTCTGTTTTGGGGATTACGTCTCTTTATATCAGGCAACCCAGTTGTGTTCCTCTGCGGCCAGATTATTAACAGATGCTCTATTCATTCTTTTTTAGAAACCTCGCACTTTTCTACTCTATTTTAAAAGTTGTAAAATTAAGTGCGGTCCACTGCTGCACACGTGCCACAATATCGATACAGGGCCATCTGTATCGATACTTGTATCATCAAATCTCTGTGACGATACATCGTAGTATCGATATTTTAAACACAGATATCGGATACCAGTCGTGTCTAAAGTGAATGTAAACAGGCGGGCCAAAAAATCTGATTTGGTCAAAAGATCGGATCTCTGCATTAAGACTTGCAGTGTAAATGCAGCCTTGAAGTCAACAGAATGTGGCATTTTCAAGCCTTTGTACTTCCACTATGTGATGAATTTCTGGGCGAAGATAAAAAAAAAATAGAACAGGACTTGATTTTATTCATCGTGAATTGATTGGATATTGAAAAGTGGGTGTTGCATATTAGAATGCTTAAAGGTAGGTGTCAAAAAGGAAGAGGGCTTGGTGACATCATCTGAAAAGAAAGCTGTTCGAGAGACTGAAAAGATTATGAAGACCGTTTTCTATGGAATAATGTGGACAGTGAATGCGTATTTAAATAAGTAAATAAATAGGGTCAACATTAATTTCATTCTGACTTTAAGGCCCTAGGTCATGTCTAATTTTTAAAATCCATGTTTTTTTGTCCAATGTTTTGTTGACTGATCAACACCAAGGTATGCAACAGTACAGCCCATTGAACATACTGTACTTCTTTCCCTTGTGCTCTTCTGTGCCAGATTAAATATGGTGTTTGTGCTGACTAAGATTTATACCAAGTTGGTACTCTAAAGGCCCCCAAGTACTCAAGGCAAAGTTGTTTCTCGTTCTTTGCTTAGGGGTAAAAAGAAGTTCAAAATACCTTTGTGGTGATATGCTTGTAGCGAATATCCATTTCCATGTCAAAGAAAGCAGAGTCGCAGAACACGTAATCGCCACAGACCAATGGTAGTGCAAAGGTGTTTAAGGGGCCGTAAATCAATATGATACAAAAAGGCTTATCATAGGAAGAGAAGATCATTTAGGTTAGCTGCTGTTTCCATTTTTACAGTGCGTCGCCTCTGCCTGACCTCTCTGTTCTGTCCCTGGGGAGTAAACAGTCTAATGACCTTCCCAAAGGTCCACTCCATTCCTACAGATAAACATCAAACACACTCCACTCACACACAATTACCGCTGCCAGCTCCGCCGTCTGGACTGCCAAGAGCTGATCATGGTCTGCTTTTTGAAAGTTCCTCATGACTTTGGGTATTGCTAGTGTTTTTGTAAACACAGTGTTGGGTAATGTTTACCCGTTGCTGTATATCACCATGTCTAGCTGATCAACATCACAGTATATGCAAATATAGATACTAGACTAGCTGGTTTGGGAATGGCTGCTGTAAATGTTAATACAAACTACCAATTGCGCTTAAGGTGTAGTTGTACTGACTTAATATGAAAAACTAATTTTTTTAATTTTTGAGATATGCATGTCAATGGTGATCATGTTTTGTTAATTTAAAAAGGAATTCATGCATACAATGACTTTGATACACCTATTCTAAGATGAACTGGGTTACAGTTTCTGGATTCAAATTCATTCTGATCATTTCTTGGGGCTTAAAGTAAAAAAAAAAAAAAGGGATGTACCTGTCTGTAGATAATTTATTAGTCTCATTTAAAGGATTAAAATATTTGAAGAATGTTTGGTCTTTTTGTAATAATTGAATTTATTATTATTTAATTAAAGAGCAATATTGGTTTTACAATATAATTCATATTTGAAAAACTTTTTAAATATAATTAAATATTTGTAAAAATCCAGAGTTTTTTTGTAAACTTCAGTTATGACATTTAATCAAAGTAAATAAAAAAAAAAATTTTTCCCAAAAGACACATGAAACCAGCACGAGTACAAAGTTTACAGTTCTGATTGGTTGAACCATGTTTGAATCTGGTTTTGAGTCTGTGTCTCAATGGTTGACTAATTTGTTAGTCATCCAGCAACTGACCATCGTGGTACATCCATACTTAAACATTGTTGAACATAGTTTATCCAACCAGAATTCAGAACTATTGGTTTAATAATACTCTTCAAACAGAAAGTAACTAGTAACTTGTTTTTCCAGGGTATCCCTACCATTAACCCAACCTCTGTTCCTAGAGCCAGAGCAGCTCTTAAAGAGATGACTGTTGCGAGTCTACCTATCGGACACAAAAGCTTTTGCAGGACTTGGGGGGGCCGCTATGGGGAGGTGGGAGAATTGCTGAAAGGCTGTACTTTGTAGTTTGTATCACCTGATACCACAGAGCGCTCTCTGATAAGCTGAGATCTCTCTCTTCAGAATGAAGGCTCTGAATAGATTCCTACAATGGCACCATTGACCCTGTCAGTATGTGCCCGTGTCCCAGCCGATGAACGCGCAGAACTCTTTTCTTTGAACGACTCTAACCGTTTTCCATGGTCTGACCCGGGAGAAGGCTATAGATGTTTTTCACTGTCTAATCCAGTGGTTCTCAACCTTTTTTCCACTGGGCCGCACTATGGTCCAAGTGCAAGTCTCACAGGCCGCACGCATATCATTTACATATTATGTCACCAATACAAACCAACCAGATTTATAATAGCCTGTCATTCAAATCAAAAATGCCATTGAAATAAATAAATAAATAATTATACTCCCCATTAATAAAACACCTGATGCTGTCAGGAGCTGACCAATTTTGTGAAATTCGGCTCAAAAGGAGTAACGGCACAATGAAGTTGCGATTATAAGTTGCAGTCTGTAAGACGCGCACTGAAGCGTGACTTGACGCGCGACATAGCAGAAAATGTGCGTTCACAAATGTAGCCTATGTTGATCCAAATATGGAAAGCACTTTCGAATTTAATAATCTTCTCTCCAGAGATGTTTTGCCACATTTCTGCAATTAAGGATGATTGCTGCAATCAGTTTCTTTATTTTATAAAAGCACAACGTTTTGTTAATATTGTGAGTGCACACAAATAAAAGTAGACCCTTTACAGTTATGAATGATGTATTATTCTTACCTTTATGAGCAAAAATGTGCGTAAAAGTGGCGTATCCACTGAAAAAAATGCAAGTGATCGCGCT